GCAGCCAGCATGCACCAGTGTGAGGGCAGACCCTGCAGAGGGCTCAGCCCTCAGCACTTGCTGATAACCACACCTGCAAAAGCTCCTACAGTGGCAGCTGAAAAATCTAAAGGATGCGATGTTCCTGAGCATCAAACTGCAGGAGCAATGCTGAATGCACAAGGGAGCTTTTTAAATACTTCAGCATACTGAATTAATTTCAGATACTGCATCAAGGAGCAGTTTCACCCGTCCATTTTAGCATCTCCTTTTAAAAATTGATGCTGTGCGTTCATTTTGGGACAGCTCATTTTCTATTTCCTCCCACTCAATCCCCAGGTCTCTCACCACAAAGTGCTCTGGCAGTGGAACAGCTTGAACTTGAGCCCAAGCCAAATGCCAGGCACTCACAGAGCACTAAGAGATAACGTCAAAGTTGTGTGGCATGTTTAAAGCAGCTGTGAGCAAGCAGTTTTCCTGCTTGCATTAACTTGTCTGCTCACATTTTGCTACCATGCCTGCAAGAGTATTGCACCTTGTCTTGCCCTCTCAAACAGTGCAAACACCATGTGCCAGGACCAACGTTACTGCTCTCCTGTGCTCACAATAACACAACTCTGCTTTTAGCATCACCTGACTCCTGAGTGCTTGAACAAATGCCCTTTGAGGACAGGCTTTCTCTGCTATCACAACCAAATACCCAGCAGATCCTTGAAAGTGCAGTAAATGCTGGGGAAGAGGAAGACTGGGGAGCTGTCAGCAGTGTGGAGGTGCCTGGCCTGGCTGGAGTGACTGCTGTTTGCACAAAGCTGTCACAGGAATGTGCCCTTGCATCAGCATAACCTCCTGGTCACTGAGTTCAGACACCAGTTACAGGGAAGCTGCTGGTTTGGAGTTTCACAGGGAGAATGGCCTGACTGCAAAGTGGCAAAGGAAATACAGATGGCATGTGTGAGCACATAGAGGAAGAGACAGCAGCAGCATCCCTGCACCTTCAAGCAATGGTTTACCCCTTCTGTGCTATGTGTGATGATGCCTGTGACAGAAGTGCTCTTCCTTTTAAAGAGGTAACACCCACGAGAGGAAACCCTGTTACGTACATGGACACAAGCAAGTACACATACATAGAGACCCAAACACACAGCCAGAAAGGCATGGAGCTGCAGCAGCCTCCTGGGGAGCAGCTTTTCCCCAGGGCACATGAAGCAGATGACGGGCTCTGGGGACAACAAGGAGCAGCCAGACCTGGGTTGTGAATCAGACACTGTGACCTGGCACTGCGCCACTTGGCACAGGAATCTAATCCCTCAGCAGCCAAAACAGTTCAGATACGATCCCTCAGAACTGAGGTGCCAAGAAGCTAGCCAAGAACAAAGGAAGCAGCCCCAGTGCAGTGGGGCAGCATCTTAGTGCAGCAGCCATCTCAGAAGCATCAAGCAACCACACACTTCTCAGCACCCCTGCCTTGCTCTCGTACTGTGAGACATCACACCCTGTACTGCAGAGCTTTCTTTGCTCTGTCCTAGAGGACAAGACAGCAAAGCGAGCAGGGATTCACAGGAAAGGGGCTGAGCTCAGTGCCCCTTATGCCAAGTGAAACAACGTATTTCACCACACGGGTACCACACATTTGTGGTGAGATTCCATTCCTCTCATACTCGAAACATAAGAAAACATCAGCTTCCTTTTTGATCATCACTAAACAATGACTATGTTTTAACAGGATTACACAGTTCAGCATTCAGGAAAAAAAAAACAAACATCTTTCCCAATAGTAACACCAGTAACTACGTTGAGCGAATTGGCTGGGGAGCAAGGATGTCAAAGACATGTATAAAGTATGAGATAGGATGAACGAACTCCATTCAGGCACTGAGATGGACCGTCAGCCTCCAGAGGGCTTCTTTTTATCAGTGTATGATAACACACAGCCACAGTGATTGCTGGGTTCTGCCAAAGGCAGCTCCAGGCACAGAGGTTTCACATCCACTGTCACTCCTCCAAGCGCCAGCTCAGCTCAGCACTAACAGCCAGCAGTGCTGCCATGGCCTCAGTGCTCAGGCGGGTGCTGGGGGCTCAGCAGACCCTAAAGATGCCACAGCCACACCTGTGAGCAGTGCTACCTGCTGGGCCCAGTATGGAGCCGAAGGCCACGAGAAAGGCCAAATGAACTTTCTAACAGAGAACTCAGCAACGCAGCCCAAGCCTCTGCATTGACAGCTGGGAACCGGGGTCAGCAGCTCAGCTCCGCGTGTGGAGACCCCACAGCCCGCCCACCCGCCCTCCCCCCGGGGAGCGATGCTCACGATCATCTTCTTGTAGAGGCCGTAGTGCAGCACCAGGCTGTGGGTGAGCGCCAGACGGTGCGGCTTCATGGGGTGCCCGGCTCCTGGAAGGAAGGAAACCACAGGCGGTCAGGGGCGGCACGGAGCAGGATTAGGCCCGAGTGCAGCACAGGCCGTTCCCGCGGGCCGGTACAGCTCTGCAGCCCCGACCCCGAGCCGGGAGCGGGGCCAAATCAGCCCGATCCCCACCCGGCCCGACCCCAGCCCCGCACCGTAGTGGAAATTGCCGACGTCCGGGTCGTAGAAATAGGCCACGGTCTTCGCCATGGCGAACAGGCCACCACCGCCGCCCCGCGCCCCTTCTACGTCATCACTTCGCGACCGCACCGCCCGTCGGCGCTTGGCTGCGCGTTAGATCTCGCGAGAAGTGGCCGGTAAGGGGCGAGGCTTGAGCGGGATGGAGGCGGAGCTTGAGCGAAACGGGGGCGGGGCGTTGCTAAAGCACCGCCCACTTCGCAGACAGCGTGCCTGCAGCTGCGCTCCCGTTAACCGTGGCGATGTTTGGAGCAGAGCTGCCAGCAGTGTCACAAGGGAGCCCGAAGCCTCCAGGGCTTCTGAATGGACCAAGCAAGGATGCAGGATGCAGCCCCATGGGGATGCGGATCCGCTGGAATGGAGTTCTGTATGGATGGAGCCCGTTGGGGTGCACATCCGCAGCGATGGGGCTCCGTGGGGTTGGAGACACGGGGCTGGGGTTCCATGGAGACGTAGCTCCATGGGCATGAGGACACAGGGATGTATCCCCGTGGGGATAAGGACACAGGTTTGGGGCTCTATGGGGATGCTGATCCAGGGGGATGCTGGGGCCAGAGCCACCATGCCATGCCCCAGTACTGCCCCATAAGTGCTGACAGAAGCAAAGAAGGATGGGTGGAGGAACTCTATGGGATGGGATACCCCTGTGATGTGCCTGGCAGGAGCAGAGCCCACTCCTTGCCTGCTCCTTTCCTGCTTCCAGCTCTTTCCATGCAGGGTTCCCATGGGAAAGGGGATGGCGTGATCAGGACTGGTTGCACCCCCCGTTTGGACTGCTATGCAGAAATGCATTGGGTGGGCGGAAACACCAGGGAGCAGAAAGGGATTTATTGTGAAGGACAGCGGGGGCTTGAGAGCAGATGGGAATCAGCCTCACCCTACATCTCAGGAGAACCCGAGACCTGCAGTGTGCCCTTAGAAGAAGCAAGGTGTAAAACACTTTTAATGTCCCACTCTGTGCAATGCTATATGCTGTTGCGGTGTGTTGGGCTGAGATCAGGTGCCCTCTCATGCAGCCATCCTGGGTTCGTGCCCATTGTCCCCCCCTTGCCAGGCTGATGTGCCTCCATTCCATCCTGGGACAGCAGACAAAAGGGTGGCACTGATGACTTGATGACCTCCTCAAGTCATAGGATGCAGGAGGGTCTGTGGCTCCTTGCAGCTACTGCCAGGGCTCTGCTGGCCACTTCTGGATGTGGAAGGGAGCTCTGGTGGTGGCACAGCTAAGGGCTGTGGATCACCTGCCTGCACCTGTTCTCAAGGGCTCAGCTGCACGAGGAAGCTCAGTGGTGGTGGTGGGATGGGACTGGTGTCAGCAAGGCTCACAAGAGCGTTGGGTGGCTTTTGGGTGCGGGATACAGAGGTGTCATTTGCAGCAGAAAAGATTGGGGTGAAACTTCCCAGGCTGAGGACAGGCAGGGAGGTTGTGGCACTGAAATGTTGAACAGCTCAGACATTTTGGGAAAGAAGGGAGAACTGTTTGTGCTGACATGGGCTGCTGGATCCACAGGGGCTCCTTTGCAATGCTTCTAACCATTGCAGGCAAATGCACCTCGCTCTGTGCTCAGACACTTTCCAGCCGGCTCTTCTTCAGTGCTCCAAAAACTGCCCGGGAAGGGGGGTGCTGGGGCAGGGAGCAGCGTGCCAGCACCCGCTGCTGCCGCTTGCCCCGCGCTGCAGCTGCCAGCAGCATTTTTCTGAGCCTGCCTGAAGCCATCCCCCACCGCGGGCGTTCCGGAGATCTCAGGCTGAGGACGAGCGGGTTGGCAGCGGCCGCCTCGGCAGGCAGAAGCCGCCGGGTTCCTTCCCGAGGAAGCCGGGACAGCGGAGGATGCTCGCGGCGGTCCAGAGCCGCGGGGATGCGGGGTTGCTAGGAGGCAGGTGAAGGTGACGGGGACAGCGCTGCGGAGCACCGCAGGCCCAGGTACCGCCGCAGCCACGCACCGCACCGCGGATGGGGATGGGAAGGCGGGCGGCGGAGGAGCGAAGTGGCTCCGGGGGTTGCGGGGAGGATGCGGGAGCTGGCGGTCGCTCGGTCCTCCGCCCGCCGTGAGTCACGAAGCGGGAGGGGGGAGGGGGGGGGGGGCGGGGGGAGAGGGGGCGGGGTGCTTGGAGGGGTGCTGGGGGGGTGGTGCCCTTGGGCTGCCGCGCGCCGGGGGGAGGGGGAACGCGGCGGTTCCCGCTGCTCCTGCTGCCCTTGGGATGCTTTGGTGGCTGCGGTGTGTCCTTGGGAAACAGAGCTGAGCCGGCCATGGCAGGGCTGTGCCTTCATCTCATCCCCAGCTGGGAGCCGGGTCTGACCCAACAGGGCCTGGAGGCAGCATGGGGGGGGGGGGGGGGGCCGGGGGGAGAAGGGGGGGGGGAGATGCAGGCAGCCTGGTGGGGGTCTCCAAGCCACCTTCCCCCTTCTCCTAGATCCGCATGTCCGACCAGAGCAGCAGCGAAGATGGGGAGTCCGACTCCCAGCACAGCCTGTACATGGTCTTCCTCCTTGTCTTGGTCTTCTTCATCATGGGGCTGGTAGGGTTCCTCATCTGCCATGTCCTGAAGAAGAAGGGCTACCGGTGCAGGACGTTCCGGGATGAGCTCGACCCAGATAATAAGGACGTGCTGGCAGAACTCCAGGCCAGTGAGTACAGGGGCTTGGGGGGCTCTGCTGCTGCCCTTTGGGACTCCTCAACCACAGCCTTTGGGTGTGAGTTGAGCTGGCTGGAAGATGCATGGTGCGACGGGGCAGGGAGCTCGGCCCTGCTACTGTGGGGCTGTCCCTATCACAGAGAGCACTGAGTGTGTGTGCAAGGCAGAGCTTGGTCCCAGTAAGCTGCTTGACTTAGCTGCACATGGATGGTATCTGAAGTTTCCAGGCTGATTTTGATTGCTGGAGATGCCACGACCTTGGGAAAGTCTCTTTGGGCTTCTAGGAGCATGGCAGCAGCCCCTGACTGTGCTCCGCAGGGCAGCTCCCCACCAGCTTGAACCTGCTCACAAGAAAAGCCAACCCTGCAGGCTGGGCTAAGGTCTCCCAGCCAGGGCTCCTGTCACCAAAATGGCCAAAGGCCTGTTGTGATGGGTGCTGGGGATGGTTACCAAAACAGGGCAGACGTCCAGCCACATTTCCCCAGCGTGCTCTTTTAAGCTTCAAACACCATAACTCTGGGACTTCCTCCATTGGAGATTGTTTCTATGTATTTAACAAGCCCTCCTTGGTCTTCTTGTATGTGAACTTGTCCCATTTACCCTTAGAGACCTTTAGCCCTGTAGCACCCTGCAGCCAGGAGCTGTAAGGTTGGCCCAATCCCACCCTTCAGGCACCATAATTTCTCCTTTCAGATGAAGAGGAGGAGCTGAATGAGGACACCGTGGAGAAGATCGTGAGATGCATCATCCAGAATGAAGGTGAGTGTTTCCTTGGGCTGGCTCACAGCCTTGCTGGCCGCTTTGGCTGACACAATCCCTTTTTCCTCTCTCTTCAGCAAACGCAGAAGCCCTCAAGGAGATGCTGGGGGACAATGATGGGGACATAGCAGTGCCAATGCCCAGGTGAGGGAAACCTATTCCAGCTTGTGGCTCTTCTAGAGTCAGGGAGAAGAAACCCTTGTGTGTCACCTTGGTGCTGAGGATTTGACCTGTCATGTCCTTTTCCTCTTGCAGCCTTTGTCCCCACCGTAACAGCCAGGATGGAGGCCCCCCTCACCACCATACAGTGCACCTGGGCTCCACGCAAGCCCCCTGCATCCACTGCAGCAAAAGGAGGAGGCACCCACTGCACCGCCAGGGCCGGTCCAAGGATGGCAAAGGCCGGATGCACCCCGGAGAGACCACTGTCTTCTCAGTGGGCAGGTACTGCTCAGACGGAGCATTGGTCCATGAAGTCTTTTCTGTCCCACTTGTCCACTTGCCTCATGCTCCTCCCCATCTCATGTCCTGGGTTGGCCCTGCTGTTGGGTCCTCTCACACCTCGAAATTCCCGTGGTGTGTGGCTGTGACACGTGGGTTTCCTCCCTCCTCCTCCCTTTGGTGACTCAGGCTGGGGTTGTCCCGCTGGCTCAGAGCAGAGCAGCACCAAACCCACGTCCCTTCTGAGCCTACAGCAGGGTAAGGGGCAGCCTTCCTGTGGGGCAGGTGGTAGGGATCTCATGGAGAGGGGGGACAGCAGGTTTCTGTTGCAAGTAACTCCTACCAGAATGAAAGAATGGCTATTCTGCCCCAAGTCTTCGCCTGCAATAATGATGATAATTAGATAGTGTGGGAGGAAGGTAAGAATAGGGGAGTGCACTGACAAATCCCACAAATAGTCTCCCAGTCCCTATCTGTTCTCACCTCAAGGGACTTCCTGAGCTACCTGTGGCCTCTGCGCTGTGAGTAACTGATGCAATCTGTGACCCTGCCCAGGCTGCCCCATTCCCCAGCAGAAGTGTTCTGATGATGTTCAGCCAGACTGGGCACCAGGGTTGTGGGCTTTCTACCATCAGAGACAGAAGGGAAGGGAACTGAGGGCTTTAAGGGGAGCTTGTGCCCTTGCTGCCAGCTGGCCTGGGTTTTGGGACTGGTGGCTGGTAAACAAGACCTCTGTACAGTCGCATATTCATGGCTAATCTCATTCCCTGGCCAGAGCCCAGCTCCATCTCTCCTCCATGTCCTTCACCCGTGCTCTTCTCACTCACCTCTGAGTGCATGAAGAAGCTGATCTCTGTCCCTAACTGCACCTTCCCTCACATTCTGACATTCTCCCCTTATCCTTGTTAGGTTTTCATGTCACGTAAGATGTTTCCAAGGTTATGTTTTAAGTTCCCTCTTCCTGAATCTCCTTGGCATGAGGTCCAACTGCAAGGTTATCGTAGTTCCACCACAGCCGTGCAGGGCTGGAGCATGTGGCCCACGAAGAGCTGCTGAGAGAATGGGGTTTGTTTGGCCTGGAGAGGTCTCTGGGGGGATTTAATTGCTCCCTAAAACTCAAAGGGGTGGGAGGAGTTGAAGCAAAAACGGAGCTGGTCTCTTACTGGAGATGCACATTGGAAGGGCAGGAGGCAACAGCCAGAAGTTGCAACAAGAGAAACATGGATGGAGCGCGAAAAGAAAATATTTCATCCTGGGACAGGGACTGTAGGAGCAGGGAGATGGATGTTCAGGGAGGCTTCCAAAACCTGCCTGGAGAAGGCCCTGAGCAACAGGAATGAGGGTGGGAACTGGCCCAGTTATGAGGGGACAGGAAGGACTGGAGACCTCCTGAAGGCCTTTCCCGCCTAAACAATCCTGTAATTCTGAGTAATCAGGGCTATGTGTGCTGTACTTTCATATTATTGAATAATTTGCCATCTTTCTTTGGGTTCTCCCTAAACCTTTCATCTTTGCCATCTCTCTACCACGCTGCTGGGCAGCCCCATAAATGAATGGCAGAGCTCATCCACGACCCACAGAGCTCTCATCCCGGGTTTGCTCAGCTGCAGCATGCTGTGTCCTATTGAACCAAGTGTCCCAGCCATGCTGCCTAGGCAGACAGCCAAAGCACTCCTGCCTCATGATCCAAAGGTTTCTTACGTTATCTCTTGAGTCCCCTCCAGCTTCTCAGAGTCCTTTCATGGCTCTTTCAGGCTGACATTGCTCAAAGACATAACGAAGAAATGGTGTTGTCGTTTGTGCCTCCTCCCAGGCTCTCCTTGCCCGATGGAACATTTGTTGGTCTTGTATCACGGTGCAGGTTCTTCATCTCCAAGTCTCCGGATGGAAGGTCACATCTGATGCTGTTTTACCCAGCAGTTCTCAGGATGTATCTTCTTCACTTTTCAGTTATGAGCACCATTTCTAGCTGTGATGCTGAGGACCCTGTTGTGTCTACCCTATAGACATAAACTTATCATTTCGGATGCTCAGTGCTCTTACGATCTGCTTAGGATCTGCTCTGTCTGGAGCTCCCTGGTGTTTGAAGAGAATGTAAGAGCTATGATCCTGAACATCTTTCTGACGTCCCATCCCTCACTCACATCCACTTACTGACCAATCCATCCTTGTTCCACCTCTGGGACCACTCAGTCTGGAGCTGGTCTTTGCTGCTTCACTTCTGACATCTCATCTGGTGCATGGACCTGTGTTCTCAGCTTCTCTTTTTGGGATGGCCATTCTCTTAACTTGTAGGTCTTACGTTTCTTTGAGCAGTGCTTGAGCTAAACTTGCATTTTCTCTGGCTGACTCACAGTTGAGCTCAGCAGAGCCCAGTCCTTCTATGGTTGCTCCACGTGTGACTCGTGCAGTGAGTGTGGCTGTGGGGCGTCATGTCCCTCTGATGAATCCAATGTTCCTTGGCCACTGGACACACACTCACTCTGCAGATTTCCTGTCTGCTGGGCCAGCAAGAGCTCATAATGCTTACGAAGCAGAATCGGAGCGCAAGTCACAACCAGCTCACTTTAGACTCTTACACTTTGCCTATGCAATACCCCTCCCACATTCCAAGGTTGTGGTAGCTCCCTAGCTTCTCCCTTCTCCCCAGCCACAACATTACAATCACCTCCAATTATGGACTCACCCATTATGGGTGTCAGGCCAACTTTGTGGTTGCTCTCCTTCCTGTCCTGGAGCTCTGAGCTGTTCCTGGTGCATGGTAGAGGCTTGGTGACACCTAGACACCATCCACTGTCCCAGAGGACTGTGCACAGTGTGCTTTGGTGGCTTTTAGTCAAGTAGTTCCTATTGGCTTCTGACTCCTCTAATTAAATGCAGATCATCCTGCAAAACCTTGTCTTCCCTCTGCCTGCTGAGATTTTTGGCCTTTGCTTCCTGAACAGTGGTCAGCCACCAGGTGCAATGTCCTCATGGTTGGTAGCATCCCCATGGTCAGTAGTGTCCTTATGGTCAGTAGTGTCCTTATGGTCAGTAGTGTCTTCACAGTTGTGAAGTCTGACCGTTCAGTAGTGTCCTCATGATCAGTACCATCTCTGTGGTTGGTGGCATCCTCATTGTTCAGAGCATCCGTTCCTCCCTGGGCTCAGCCCACTTATTGTACATCCCCCAAATCCACACTTTTGAGTCCCTCCTCAAGCCCTGTTTTGGTCAAGCTGCATCTCAGGGCATTTCATAGAACAGAGACCCATCCCCATCCCACCGTGGGGAGGACAGATCCAGGCCCCTGATGGATGCACCAATCAACATCTGGGTTGGGCTTTTTCTCTCTGCAGCACTGGGTGCACTTTCTTCAAAAAATGAGGGAAATATGAGATCAGGTCAACAGGGCAAGGCTGGGAGGGGTATCAGTGGTGTTGAAGGAGTCTGAGGGGTGGAGATCCTCCAACAACAGAGAAAGAGAGAGGCTCCCAACTAAAGGGAAGCTGGAAATAACAGTGGGAAGGAAACAGTGCAAGAAGGAAGAGAAGAGCTTCTGACCTGGTCACCCTACTACAGGTTCCGTGTCACGCACATCGGGAAGAAGCCGGCTTTCCATGAGCAGCAGGACAGCGCCCAGCCTGACGGCAGCAAGGAGCCAAGCACGGAGGAGCTGGAGCACAGCAGTGAGCGGTTCCAACAAGAGCAGGCTCACAATGGGACTGTCCCCACGGGTAGCCTGGAGAATGGGGCTGTGCAGGAGGGGACACAGGGTGGCAAGGGCACGGAGCAGAGCCGCACCGGCACCCCAGTGCCTGGCACTGCAGTGGGCAGCTCTCCTGGGAGCACCAGTCGGCAGCGGAGGCTGCTGAGCCGCCGGGTTCTGGGAGGGTCGAGTCCCAGCATCCCAGGTCAGCTGGGGCAGGAGGAGGCCGGACTGGGATCAGCAGATGAGGTGTCGGATATTCACGGGAGCCTGAGCCTACATGAAGTGCCGGATGAGATGGGGAGAGAAGACAGCAGCAGGAGGCAGCCCGGAGCAGAGAACATGGGGCAGCAGGTGGGTTCCTTCTCCTTCTTCTTGTCCCTGTGTGGTCTCCTGAGTTGGAGGGGCTGAGGGACCATGGCATGGCGTCCAACTGAGGTCCCAGGGTGCGTGGGTGCTGCCAAACGTGCAATGGCAGAATGTTTGGGGTTGGAAGGGACATTTAAAGGTCACTGAGTTCACCCTCTGCCTGGGCAGAGACATCAGATCAGATTGCTCAAAACCCTGTCTAACCCAACTTTGAGCACTTCCCATGATGGGGCATCCACAACTTCCCCAGGCAGCCTCTTCCAGCATCTCACCACCCTAATAGTGACAAATTTCTTTGCATCTAGTCTAAACCTTTTCAGTTTGAAACTCTTTTTCCTTATCCTGTCACTGCTGGCCCTGGTACAAAGCCTTTCTCCACTTTTTTTTATGAGCCCCTTTCTTTGTAGAAGCACCACAGCAAGGTCTCCCTCGAGCTTCCTCTTCTCCAGCCCAAGCTTGTGGGATGACTCCTACTGTAGAGACTGTAGAGGAGCTGGGGCTGGATGTAGCATGAGACCTCCTCAGTCCTGCTCACCCTGTTCCTACCTCCTTCCCTGACTGCATATTTCCATCCCTTTGTTAATGTATGTGCCAGCAGGGCAGAGGGATGGTCTTGTTCCACCCTCTGAGCCCTTCTCAGCAATACCAACTGCTGGCCAAGGCATGGTCCAAACGGATGTGGCTTCTCCTTGGGACACACAGAATCATCATGACACTGTTCCTACCTTGCTGGTGCCCACTCCCAAGGGAAGGCAGGATGTTGTTGGCTTGCAGCAAAGACCCTGCAGCTTCCAGACCTTTGTGCAAGGGATGTGTTGGTCTCCTTCGTGATTTGGTTCTTTGGGCACTTGCATTGGGATCATCATTCTTTGTCTCCCTGATGAGGCCTTCTTTGCCTCTGCCCATGGCTTACCATCCCCCAAACTGGTGGTCTTGGTGCACAGACCTCATCAATGCAACACACAGGTAGGGAAAGATGCCCTGAAGTCCAGGAGGAAATGAATCCAACTATTTGCATCCTAGATGTTTTCCCACTCTGGAGGACTGGTGCTCAGGGAGGGGAAGAGCACCTTGGTGTTTCCCAATCATCCCAACTTTAATGAGCTCCAGGACAGCACTGGTGAAGATGTGGGTGCCCCAGGCAACAAGAGACATTTGTTCCCTGCTGCTGACTCAGGGTTCTTAGGAGCCAGATAATGAGGAAATCAGATGGTCTGGAGAAAGGCCATAGTGTGCTTCAGTGCTGGGGTTATCCCAGGGCTGGCAGCCTGCCTGGAGGAAGGAGGATGGACATGAATGTGGATAGCCCAACAACCAAGATGATGGGCTGCAGCCCCTCTCCAGACTCCTATAGGGACATCACCAGGTTCTCCTTCCTCAGATGGCCCACCATGGTGGCAATGACCACAGTCCCTCTGGTCTATGTGGTCTTGTGCAGGGCAAACATAGGGATGTGGTGATTTCCTTCTGCTCATTGGCTCCTCTGCAATGCCAGACTTCTCCCTTTGGTTATTTGAGGAGAGCTGGGAAAGGGGGACAAAAAGGGGGTTGCATTCCCCACCCCTACAGCTGTGGGATGGCATAAACCATAGGGCAGGAGGAGCATGCATAGCCCTGGGCACAGCTACACACCCAGCCCTTGGGCTGTTCTACCAGGGAGAATGGTGATGGGACATCCCTGAGATGTTTGCCCCCCAAGCCCTGGAACCAGTCAGCAGCTACCCCATCTCCTGGGTCCCTGCCAGGACCACCACGAGGGTTGTGAGCTGCTGCCTGGCACGGCATGGGGTACTGGGCTGTCAGTCAGTGGTGCTGACTCCACCCAGAAGGGTCACTGCTGTGGCCACGGGCTGCATGATGCCTGCATCTCTCCTCCCTCCATAGGAGCCCAGCGCTGTGGTGCATGACCGAGGAGCCACTGTGTGATGTGAGTGCTCGTCTTCAGTCTTGGGGCCACATCCAGGGGTGGGCAGGGGGGAAGCCATGGGCAGTGGGTCACAGCCCACCCTACCAGCTTTTGTCTGCGGACAACCCATACAGTTCTTCTGGGGGGTACCCAGGATAAGGAGATGCAGGTGGAATGGGGCTGCTCCAGACGCACCATAGCCAAGCACCATTCCTGCTCTCTACCCACAGCTCCTCTCCACTCTTGGCCCTGGTGGCTGACAGCAGGCACAGGGCCCCTTGGCCCCACACAGGGCTGGAGGCTCAGCTGTGGGGGGCAGCTGGCCCCAGCCCCAGCCCGGGCGAGCAACTTGGCATGGCCAGAGCGACGCACGGACATTACAGACCTCATCCCATCAGCAATAGTTTACCCAACTCCCCCCATGGCACTCACCACCCCGCTGCTGCCCATGCCTCGCACCCCAAGGAAGGATGCTGCAGGGGTGGGCAGGGGCACCGCCTTGAGCCCCCCAACCCTGAATTCACTGCAGATCACAGCCCCGGCGGTGCCACCGAGCACCAGCACAATGCCCGTGGTGCCAATGGGGAGGGACCACGCAGCCCCCGGGGGTGCTGATGGAGACGAAGCCTCCTGCCCTGCCCCGCTGCAGGGTGAGCTTTGGTGTTGAACTGCACTGTAAATAGATGAGCTAAAACCATTAAAGCTGCTGAACACGGCGGTGGGGTGAACTGGTTTTAATAGGGGCATGGCCACTCTGTGCCCATGCTGGACACGGTGCAGCCACAGCATGGGGAGGAGCAGAGGCCCCAGGGAAGTGATGCTACAGATGAGAGGCAGAGGCAGGGATGTGGCTGCCCCACACTGTGCAGCAGTGCCCCACGAGCAGTGCTGGGCAGGATGTGGCCCCCAAGGAGACCAGCTCAAGGAGTAGCAGGTTGTGCCATGCGTCCTGCTCCCCTCTGCACCACTGGGAATAGATAGCCCAGGGGTGAGGGGCATGTGCGGATGGGCAAAGATTTTGCAGCCTGGGCAACCCAGGGTCAGCTGAGGTCCTGCTCCAGGTCGGGGGCTCGGCCAGGAGGTGGGGGTGGTGCGCGGAGCTGTGGGGAGAAGAACAGACATGGGGCCCTCAGGCTGAGGGAGGGGGTCCCACTGCCCTGAACCCCTCCAGAATCACACCACATCCCAGCACAGAGGATTCTTCTGGCCCTTTTCTAGGCTCTGGGATAGGTTTGGGGGTCAGAGCATCACTGTAAAGGGGTACATACGGGACGGATGCGGTTGGCTGCCAGGTCTGGAGAGTTCTGCCCGCTGCTTGTGCCCTCCTGCCTGCAGGCTAGATCCACAGAAGGCTCAGACAGGCTCTTAGTGCCCCCAAGGCCACCCCCCTGGCACTCACCTTCCAGCAGTGGTTCAGGGCCGGAACCCAGACTGGCACTGAGTGCAAGGCCAGGAGGGGAGAAAGGTGGTGGGGATGGTGAGGGAAGTTCCTGCAGACACAGGGACACACAGTGTGGTGGGTGGGCAAAGCACAGAACCCCCCAGACATCACCACCACCACTAACCTGCCCAGCCGTGCCCCGTGCCCCAGTCAGTTCCTCCACTACCAGCGAGGGGAAGACACCAACTCTGCCATCAAAATCTCCAGTCCAGAAGCCATCATCCACCTCATCCTCAGCACGAGGCAGCACGCGGATGATGGCTCCTTCAGGGAAACTCAGCTCCTCGGGGCTCTGCCCCTCATAGTCGTACAGGGCTCGCACCAGCCAAGCTGTGGGCAGAGTTGCTCAGCACCCCAAGATGTCATCGCCTGGCCCTGCCCCAGCACGATGCCCAATGTCCCCATCCCATACCCACCTCCAGGCTCCAGGACCAGCTCCGCAGCCATAATGCTGGAGAGCTGTCGCTGCAGGGCTGCCCCCGAAGGTCCCGTGGTTCCAGTGCTGGCAGCTGAGCCCGGCTCACTGCCCACACAGCTCAGGCACAGCAGGTACTTCTCAGGGACATAGCCGACCTGTCCTGCCTTGTTCCGAGCCTGGAAGGGACAGAAACCACATTACCACTCCAGTGATGTGGCCCCAGGCCCCCAGCACTGGGACGAGCTGGATGGTAGATCCCACCTTCACCCACTCCTCCATATCGCCATCCTCGATAACTTCCAGCTCCTCTCCCTGTGCGATGGATAGCTCATCTGCATGGCAGCCCTGCAGGGGACAGGTGACAACATGTGACAACCAGGCTGGCAGTGCCATCCCCAGGCGTGCATGGCACCGGTGGTTTTACCTGGTACCCAAAGATGACCCGACAAGTGTAGGGGTAGGTGCGAGCAGCATGCCCAGGCTCAGCCTCCTCAAATGTCTCATCGCTGTCATAGTCATCGAACTCAGTGGGGTCCAGCCCTGTGGGTGCCTCTGTGCTGGGGGTGCGTGGGAGCTCCCCACCTGCCCGCACTGCCCCGGCCAGCCAAGAATCCACATCCAGCCCTGCTGTACGCAGCAGTGCCAGCCGTGCCTCTGCCTTCGCCCTGCCAACCTGTGAGTAGAAAGATGCTTCAGTGACTATGGAGATGTCTATGGAGTAGGGGACAGCTATGGGGTGGGGGACAGCTCAGCCTCACCCCTTCCTCCACAAACCACAGTCCCCAGGGTGGCTGCTCCATAGCACAGCATCCCAGCACAATTCCACACCCAGGATGTGATGAAGGTTGAGGGCACCCTGAGCACATGTGGGACCCACCTCTGCCTTCCAGATGTTTTCTCGCACTTCCTCCATCTGCCGCTCCACAGCGGCCACCTCTGCCTCGGGGACCTGGTGCCTCCTGGCCTCAAGCCTCTGCAGCACCTGCATGGGCAGTAAGATGGGGCTGCAGCAGTCACCCTCTGAGACCCCTTGGGAGAGACAGCCAGGGCTGTGTGCTCACCTCCTCGCCATGTGCCTTGTTCTTGCTGTCTCGTGTTGCACGCATGGCCCAGCGCCGTGCCTCCTTCTCCAGGCTGGCTCCGCCATCCTCCGGCTGCAGCAGGGACACCTAGGCAAGGATGGCGTTGTTGGGAAGGGTCCAGGTGTGCAGTAGCCTATATTGTACTGATTCTCATATCTACCTCCTGGATGCCATCAAGCTGGAAGCGCTGCTCAGGCACCAGCATGAAGGCGGTGTGGTCCTGCAGGAAGAGGAGGAGGTCCTGCTCCCGGCACACCTTCATAGGGGAGAATAAGGGGCTGGAGGATGCACTCCCATCCCCACCATGTGCCACTCAGCACAGAGATGGGATGGGTGGCAGTACCCGTGCAGCCGCCTCTGAGATGCGCTGGAACCAATCCTGTGTGATCTCACAGCTCTCCACCTCTGCCCGGCCAGCCGTGCTCAGGTGGTCACGTAGCCGCTCGTACAGGTCCCCATCCAGAGCCTATGGACAGCACATGCCTATAGGGAAAGGCATGGAAACTTGCCAGCGAGACCAGCCCCGGTGCCACAGGACAACCCTGCACCCATCGGGTGACCGTGATGGGACACAGTGTCCCTGCAGCACCGTTGTGTCCCCACACAGCCCCCACCTGCATGATGGCAGGCAGCTCCACGTGGTAGTAGTGCTCCAGGTGGGCATTGGCAGACACCAATGTCAGCACGTACTCATTCTGCACCCCTGCCCGCTGCTTTGAGTACTCCGCCATCTGCATGGAGAACTGGGGATGGGGACAGCAAGGTGACACACTGTCCCCATTGTCCCCATGCTCAGGGACCGTGCCATCCGTGTGCTGCCCACCTTGGCACTGAGTTTCTGCAGGCTGGCCTTGGTGTGGAAAATCCTCCGGTCACTCTTACGGAGTCTAGTGAGGATGGGGACAGGTAGACCATAGCATATCCCCAGTGCTACCATGGCAGCCCCTGTCCCCTCCCTGCTCACCGTGCCTCCACGTCGGCAGCCTTATCCTTGGCCACCTCGCTGCTGCGCTGCAGGTGGCTGAACTGCTTCTTTGCTTTATCTAGCTCCTTCACCGTTTCCAGCAGCTCTGCCTGCGCCTTCTGCAGCTGCTCCATGCTCTGGGAATAGACATGAGACCTGGGACATATCTCCACTGCCTCACCCAGCCCTGCAGACATGCCCTCACCCCATACCTTCTTGAGCATCCTCTCCTTGGACAGCCGGGAGCTCTTGATGGCCTCAGCAGCAAGGCTGCGGTAGCTTTCAGAGGCACTGATACGTGCCTGCCCTGTGTATGCCGTCCCCTCAATAATGCCCTTCCAGACAGCAAAGACACTCCTGTAGGGATGGGAACAGAGTTCGCCAATCTGTAGGGCTTTCTTACACCCGCAGGGTTTTGGGGGATGCCCACAAGGACAGGCAGCCCCAGGTAGCACAGCTGCGGGGACGTCCCACCCAGTGCTCCATCCTCAGGGCACCCAAATCCAGTCTGGTGTTTGTCACCTCCTGGTTAGAAGGCAACATGTCAACCCCCTGTCCCCATCCTTATTTTCCATAGCCCACCTCGAGTCTCCAGCATCGCTGCGGCCCCGCTGCCAGTCTCTCTTCACAAACTGGCTTGCCAGCCTCTGCAGTGCCTGTGGACAGACTGTTGTCACTACTCCCTCGTGGGCACCCTGCTGTGGCTCAGAGGATGGGGGTAGGGGAGGGCCCCCCCATCCAGTGGTCACACCGGGGGTCAGGTTGCCCATGCAGGGAAACAAGGTGAAGGCTGGCTCCATAAATGCTGCCTTGGGGCAGGAGGCAAAGGAAAGCTCACATGCTGCAGCTTTGAGGGGTGAGGACCAGGAAGGGGATACCGGTGATAGATGCCAGCTGTGAAGGCAGAGCAGCCCCAAGCATAGAGCAACCCAACCCTCTGCCCCATGGAGATGGCCCCCATGGGGTACAGCACCCACCAAGATGTGCGCTGAGAGCCCAGAGCAGGTAAGTGGCCGAGAAAGCAGCAGGGCAGCAGGAGGGAGGCAGAAGGCACAGTGCAGTTAGGGGCCGGGCTCCTCTCAGAGCCCCCTGGGTGATGCTGGAGGAGAGAAGAGGGATCAGGGGGAGTGGGGATGGTGGCAGTGCCAAAACCCCAGTGAGCTGAGAAGGGGGGACACAGGAAGGGAGGCTCAGGTGTGGGGCACAACGCAGACCCCAAAGGATGCAGTGGGAAGCCCCAGGAGCTCAGATACATGCCAGCCCTATGATGATCCAGCAGACACAAGAGTGGGAACGCTTCCTCCCCCTGGGCACTTCCACTGTGCCCCAAAACTCAGCAGACTGCATTTGTGCCACGCTCAGCAAAGTGCTCCAGGATGCATCGATCCCTCCCGGCTGGCACTGCGCTGACCCTTCCTCCCAAGGGCCCCATCCAAGCTGTGTTTGCAGGGCTGATTTCCCACACACCCTTACCTGCCCGTACTCCCGCTCAATCGCAGCCCTCTGCTTGCTGTAGGACCTGTGGGACAAGGCAGCAGAGCAGAGGGTGGCAGTGGGGCCACCTCTCCCTACCACCCCCACGGGTGACACGGCCATGCCTGCACCTCAGCGGGCTGAGAATGGCCCTTACCTGATGTCCTCCAGCAGCTCGGCATCCCGCTGCTGCTTGCTCTGTAGCCCACACAGCTGCTCGGCAAAATGGAGCTTCACCACCTGGCTCAGCTTCCCCTGCAGGCAGAACACTCAGCCCTTGCTTGGGGGTCCTCGTCCTCGTCCTCATCCTCACCCTCACCCTCACCCTCACCCTCACCCTCACCCTCGTCCTCATCCCCGTCCCCATTCCCGCTGCAGTCCCCAAACGCAGATCCCGATGCCACCCTTACTGCACCCCAACCCCGCTCTCACCTTGCGCGGAGGTGGCTGCATCTCCCCAGACCCGCACCCGGCCCCGCAGCGCGTGTGCGTAGCCCGGAACTGAGGCTCCGCCCCGCCCCTCCGCTCTAAGCCCCGCCCCCGCCATAAACCACGCCCATCGCGTTGCCGTGCCCGTTCTCTGTAAGCCACGCCCATTCACTACAGACCACGCCCATCCTAGCACAGACCACACATTTACTGCAGGCCACGCCCACCCGGTATAGAACACGCCCATTTACCATAGACCACGCCCACACACAGTAGGCCACGCCCATTTACTGTAGACCACGCCCGCCCGAGAGGCCACGCCCACTCCACCCATGCAGGTTCCGCTCCGCCCCCCTCCCCCCCTTCCTGATGCTCCGTCCTCTACATCCGCCGCTGGGATGGGACGCGGGGATGCAGGGACAGAGGGAACATGAGGATGAAGGACATGGGGATGTTGGGATGTAGGGGAAAGGAGTGTGGAGGTGTGGGGACTTGGAATCATGTGGATAGGGGGACGGAGGGATGCAAGGACAAGGGGATGGGGGCCACGTGGACATTGAGGTATGTGGGACATCCAGGAGAGGGAGGTGGGAACGCAGGGACTCGGGGGCATGGGGATATGTGGGATGTGGGAGGGTGATGGGGACACAGGAAGGGGGGGCGGGCAGATATGGAGACAGAAACATGAGGCCACGGGGACAGGGGGACTGGGGGGACATGGGGACACAAGAACGGCAAGACACAGGAACAGGAGGATGAGGAGAGGGACAGGGCAACAGGGGACACGGGGGCATAGAAACAGGGGGATATGGGAACAGGAAGGCGTAGAAAGCCCTGCAACCCTGCTGCTCACAGGGACATGGGGAGCACTGTGCTGTCTGCTGTGTGGGACAGGCAAGGCAATGATCCCAATGATCCTGTGGAGCGCTGGGAGCCCCATTTTGTATCATATGAAGAGTGTGCAGCTGCCAGCGTGGGTCCCCTGCCATGGGGACACGTGTGTGGTGCTGTGCAGTGCCACAGTGCTCCTCAGTACCGCATGTCCCCTATGTCCCCCACACCCTCCTGTCCCCATCCCCCTTTATTGCTTGCTTCTCCTTCTGCTCTCACTTTCATCCCGTGCTCTGCCCCCACAGGGCCCTCCGCTGTCCCCTCAGTCCCTCCATGGCACTGTGGCCATGGTTTGGCACTGTCCACGCATGACGCTTCATCTGGGACTGTGTCACCAAGCTGTCACTCCCCTCTGCTTCAGGAAGACACAGAGAGTTGAGAACACAGAGTGGAGCCAACCAGCACCCACTCGGTGGCAGGAAGAGAATAGAGACAAATCAGGCTCCTCAGCCCAATCAACACCATCGAACCCAGTGCATGTCTGCTCCAGATATATCTTTACTGCCCTTGCAGCTGTGGTTTGCAAACCAACCCGTTACATAGCATCTGCTTCCTCCTTCTGATGGCTGGAAAGCCCCATCCTCGCGTGTCTCAGTGACATCCGCAAGACGGTCACACTTCAATGTCACATTTTGCCTGTGTCCGCGGTGGATGAGGGCGGTGCATGGACGAGAGGCAGAGGAGAAAGAGGAAGGACCTGGTCGACATCCTGCTGCGGTGACGTGTGGCAGGGCCAGCCCTGCCTGTGACACTCGTGGGGACGCGGATTTTGCAGAGGCCACCCCACAGATATGGCCCAGCTCGTGACATCGCCTGGCTTTGCTGGGTTTGGTGTCACCCTCCTGCTTGGCTTGGCCACACAGCTGCCCCTGGGTAAGTGATTTGGTGTCTGTCCTGGCGTGGAGATGTGGGTGATGTGGGCAGAGGCTGAATGTGGGTAGGGGCAAAGGGGCAGAGCAGGGGGTCCTTGTGGGGCATGCTAAAACTTGGCGTTTGGAGGGGGTGGCTGTATGTCAGGGGGACAGCTCAGGTACTGCAGACCCTTGGGGTGACTCAGGCTGGGCTGTGGAAGGACATCTTCCCCTGGTCCCCATGCGTAGTCCCATAGGCAAGTTGTGCATGCAGAACACCCTCCAGAAGTGTAGGGTCTGTGGGTCTGCAATGCCCCGGGGGGGCAGAGGCAGCTCAGTACTGGGACACATGGGATGATGCACAGGTGGCTGTGTCCCAGCTCTGTCCTGGTGTTGGTGCCCTTGTCCCAACACCCATCCCAAGTCCCAAGTCCCATCCCAGTAGATGCTCTGGTTTCTGTGCCTCAAAGCTGCCATGGGACAGAGAGACACCAGCTCCTGGTGGCTCTGCAGGGAGGGCTCCCTGGGACAGCTGCCATGTGGCCCCAGTTGGGAAGGGGCACTGGGAGGGTGTTCTTAGCCCAGTCTGACTCCTCCTGTCCTCTGCAGCACACAGCAAAGGGCGGGCATTTTGGCACCTGACTCCCCGTGAAGAAGCTGAGTGCCCCGATGCCTCTCTGGAATTCTTCCTCAACAGCACCACGACCACCATTCTCCTCCCCACCCTCTACTCTGTGGTGCTGTTCGTGGGGCTGCCTGCCAATGTGCTGGCCTGCTGGGTCCTGGCCAAAAACTTCAGGAGGTGCTCCAGTAGCCTCTTCCTGCTCAACCTGGCCGCTGCTGATCTCCTCTTCATCCTTCTGCTGCCCTTCAAGATCTCCTACCACCTCCTGGGCAACCACTGGCTCTTTGGGGACTACCTCTGCCGCTCCATGGTGGCCCTTTTCTATGGGAACATGTACACCTCCATCCTCTTCCTCACCTGCATCGGCGTGGAGCGCTATGTCTCTGTGGCCCACCCGTTCCTCTGGAAGGGCTCCACGGGGACGTGGGGCAGGGCGGGTGTCTGCCTGACCATCTGGCTGCTGGTGGTGCTGGGTGTGAGCCCGCTGCTGTTCTACCCACAGACAGAACACATCTCGAAGCTGAACATCACGACGTGCCACGATGTCCAAGGGAAGGACAATTTCTTCCGGCTCTATTTCCTCTGCCTAGTGGGGCTGGGCTTCGGCGTGCCCTTTGTGCTCATGATCATCTCCCATGGCTGCATCCTGGCTCGGCTGCTGGCCAAGCAGGAGAGCTACGGGCACGTGGTGCGTGTCCTGGCTGTGGTCCTGCTGGCCTTCCTCCTCTGCTTCACCCCCAGCAACGTGCTGCTCTTCATGCACTACCTGCAGCAGGACACAGGTTGCAACAACATCACCTACAGCTGGTACGCCCTGGCCTTGGCCTTCAGTGCTTTTAACAACTGCTTTGATCCCTTCCTCTATTTCTACATCTCCAAGGATTTTCGGGGCTGGATATGGGAGGCTGGCTGCTGCCTCTGTGGGCTGGGGACAAAGGGGGAATGGAAGAAGACAGCCTTGCCCCTGCGGTCCAGTGAGCAGAGCCAGCTGTAGGCAGGGCTAGAGACACTGTGCCATGCTCTCCATGTGGAGAAGACCCTTCTGCAGTTCCAGCCCAGGGTTACCCCCAGCTGACCCTATGCCATTGGAAACAGCCCCATAAGGGACAGAGTCACTTCTCCAAGACCTCTGTTATCCTCCTATTGCTCCTATTGCACAGTCCCATCCCTGTATCTGCCACCCCCATCCTTGCCTGGTGCCCTCCTCACACACCTTGCAGTTACCAAACCCCTTAGAACCCAAATAAACCTTTATTTCTCCCCGATGCTGGAAGGAGAAGGTGTAAACACCCCAGATAAGCAGGAGCCATCCTCCATCGCCAGGACCACGTGCTGCACACAGATGGCCAGCTCTGCTGCTGGGGACCACCCAAAATACACCGCAATGTATGCAAGAAGGGACAGTGGGGGCAAATGGGTGCCTTGCCCAATGGAACTGGGGCAGGAAAGGGGATGCTGGGCAGAGCTCAGGGCACTGATTGCAGAGTGATAGCTTCACCCTGCGTACCCTATGTCTCTGACATTACGTGTCCTCAGCCCATGCTCGGTGCACTGCAGTTCTGCTTTACTTCCCCTTTGACTCGCTTCCTTCGGCGCTGAGACTGGCAGTGGTGGCCGATGTGCTGCCCACGCATGCAGACATGCCTGGTCCCCGTCTGTCTGTCCCTGCTCCCAGCCCAGCCCCGGGGTGAGGCCAGGAGGAGGGTGCCCACTCTGTGACACTCGAGTCACTGCTGCCACCAGATGTGACTTGACCACCAGGTCGGTGGCCACTCCAGTTCATGTCACTGGCTGGCCTGATCCTGTCCCTGTCCCTTGTGTCTGGCCGTCACTCTTCTTGAGGATGATGCTGCTGAGCTCCTGGATGAGTTTGTCGCTGATGGGTGAGGATGGCTGTGCGCTCCTCTTCTTGGTGCTGATGGAGGTCTCGAGGCTGGAGCTGTGCCCCAACATGGCCGTCTGCTCCTGGTCCCTGGCCAGCACTGTGGGTGGCTCCAGATTCCTCTCCAGAGAGGCAGTCAGGGTGGCTCTGAGCCCACAGGATGGGGTTTTGTCGCACTCCAGGTTCAAGCCCCGTTCGAGGGACACAGCCTTGGTGACAGAGGGAGCTGGCAGCCTCTGTGCTGGGCTGGGGGGCAGTGAGGAGCGCAGCACAGGGGCTGGGGGCTGCTCAGGGGATGAGGATGGCTTCTGGGATCTGTCTATGGTGGGTACAGGTGAGGGGTCCACCAGCAGCCCCCGCTGCAGCTCCAGCGTGGCCAGCTCAGGAAAGTTGCCCACCTCCTCGTAGACAGGCTCAGCGTCCATCTCCTTCTCTTGCTGCTCCTCCAGGGAGTCCTGATGCACCTTCATGGGCTGGGGACAGAGGGATGCAGTGAGAAATTGCCCAGAACAAGGGTTCTGCCTGGGGAGCTGGGCTCCTTGCTGTGGGGCTGATGCTCCTACGGGGCACATATGCTGCTCTGGGTCTCCGAACATGCTTCTGCTTCCCTTTTGGCCAATGGAGCCACTTGGGGCTCATTTGGGATCAGATCCATGCCACCAAGCAATGGCACTTTTTCCATAGCCCCTGACAGTGTTGGGATGGAGTGCCATAGGTGCACAATGCACAAAGCCAGGTGAGGCAAGACCAGGCGCATATAGAAACAACCTGATGGAAAGCAGCACCAAAACCTGCTACCTTGCATTTCTTATGTTCAGTCCTTCTGGGAG